CTCTCTATCTACTTGTGATCTCTATCTGTCAAATAAATAAATAAAATCTTTAAAAAAAAAAAAAAATTAAAAAAAAAAAAAAAGCAAGTTCTCAGACCTCAGAAATACTATGGGTACAGCTTCCCCAAGCTTTAGTTTATCTCACTTTCCAAGTGGCTCCAGTATAAGCTAGAGTTGAACCAGTGGTTACAGAGAAAGTTCCAGAGGAACTTCTTCTTCAGGAAGAAAGTTAATTATCTAAAAATGGGGTTTCTTGCAGTGGAGAGTCTCATATAGATTAGAGGGTATTTAACACTTCTGAACTCTATCATTAAAGCCAGATATTTGGGACACTTGGGTGGCTCAGTTGGTTGAGGGTCTGCCTTCGACTCAGGTCATGATTCCAGGGTCCTGGAATGAAGTCTTGCATCAGGCTTCTTGCTCAGCTGGGAGCCTGCTTCTCCCTCTGTGGGCCACTCCCCCTGGTTGTGTGCATGCTCTCTCGCTCTCTCTGGCAAATAAATAAATAAAATCTTTTTAAAAAAAAATTAAGCCAGATATTTGCTAGATCGTTTTTCATAGCTTGTTTTTCAGTATTAAAATTTTTTGTAATTATCATTTTGGTAGGACTCGTGTTACCTTTCAAAGTAAAGTATAAGAAAATGTTTTCATGTTGAATCTATTTAAGTAACCAAGATTATGTAGTGTACATATACCTTTAATGCTTTTAAAAAAATTAATAAAGCTTTTTTTTTTCTAGGTTGGTGTTGGAAACATTTTTATTTGCAGTTACTTTGTCAACCTTTACTACTGTACCTTGTTTGTGTTTGTTAGGGCCAAACATCAAAGCATGGCTAAGAGTTTTCAGTAGAAATGGGTAAGTTTTAATTTTATATTTTAGTGGTGTTTGAAATTTAAACAAGTTAATGTATTTTTCCATTCCTGGATGCTTTCAGATTATTCTATGGGTGTTTTTCAGGACTCTGGTTCTCAGGGATGCCTCAAGGGCCCACCACGGTTGGGAAGTGGGGATAGGGAAGGGGTTGTATTACATTTGAGGGGGACTCAAGCAGGTAGAACTAGAGGCTCCTCCTTCCACTTTAGCAAGATCAGCTCTGCTTTTCTTCTGTATGGGAGGATCCCACTTTGCCTTTTGTTTGAAAAAAGGTTTCCGCTACCAAAAGAAGGCTTTGAGAACCACTCCTCAGGGATGATTTGTCACTGTACTAAAATTGCTACAGATAAATTGCTTCCATACCTCTTATAATGTAGAATTGGGGTCCAAAATCTAAAAATGCTTATTAGTGTAACAACTGTAATTTCTTATTTAGCCTTTTTTGGGGTAAGACTTCTGAGTGCAAGTTATAATTATAAGATTTTATTTCCTTAGCAGCCACGTATAAGTATAAATTCAGCACAGCTAAGTTAAAATTTTAGCTTCTACAAAGGCATTGAAATGGTTCGTATCAGAAATGGTTAAATTGTAAGTAAGAAAGCTGAAAGCTTATTTGGTGCTCATGATTTTGTCCCATTTATTACCCAGTAGCAAAAATTTCTTGAGTTCTTACTCTGTGTTCCATGCTGTGCAGGCTTTGTGTGGATTCTGAAATATTAGAATCCACACAAGAAGTTGTATGGTCAAGAGACAAGAATAAAACGAACAAACAATATGAGATTAAAATTGTGTAAATCAGATAGTAAGTGCTATTAGAACTCAGAGGGGTAGGAAAGCTGGAAGGGGAATGATCTGTAAAGGATTCGGATCGGGAGTGTGAGATTTGGTGAGATGAAGGGAAAAGGGAAAGACATCCGTGATAAGATAATGAAGGAAGCTATAGAAACTGAAGGGAAAGTGATAGTTTTGTAATTTGGAAGGGAACAACCAGTATAGTACAGAGGATGCATGCTGGCTATTAGCTAGGGTCCATAAATTACTGACATTTTCCTTTTGAAATGAATATTGTTTCCCTGCAGAACTGTCTTCTGATATTGATAAGGTCTCTGAAAACAAAAGTGCAGTCATTGAAAACTCTTTCCCACATTGTTACCTTAGTATTCCTAAAGGCATTCATTTCTTGTAGCATTTTAGTTTGAAATTGTTAAGCAGTGAAAACCAGTAGAAACATTATAGATTTGGATTGGTGATTTATCCAGCTTTGAACTGTATTTCTGATAATGGTATATTTGGGGGAACATTATCATCTGATTCTGATTGTGCAGTTAGTTCTGCCATAGTATGGCATGTGCATTCCTAGAAATCCCTGCACTATGCAAAATTGGACACTAAAAAATACAGAACTTATGGGAAAGGCGGAATTGAGGCATAAAACTCAAAAAACTCTGACAACTCCTAAAAAAGATAGGAACTTAATAAAAATGGTAGTATAGTTTTATACATGTTAAATAGTTAAGAAATAGATAAACATTATAATGAATATGGTCCTTTTCCTTGGGAAAAAAACAAACAAACCTGAAATTTGCTTTTTGGGAGTAGCGTGGGAAGAGTTGCCACTCTTAAGTTATTATGAAGTCGTAAAGGAGGGTTGTTAGAAATCTGATGGGAAGTTAAGGACTGGATGTGGGAGGTGTGACTCATACACATGAGGGAAACTAAGGGAGCTGGGAGCTGGGGTTTGTTTTGTTTTGTTTTTGTTTTTGTTGTTTTATGTTTCAATTTTTTATTTAAATTCCAGTTAGTTAACATATAGTGTAATATTAGTTTCAGGAGTAAAATTTAGTAATTCATCACTTACATACAGCACCCAGTGCTCATCACAAGTGTTCTCCTTAATGCCCATCCCCCATTTATCCCCCCAACCCTGCCCTGCCCACATCCCCTCCAGCACCCCAGGGAGATGGGTTTTTTTAAAGTAGTATTGAGATAAAATTCAAAGACCATACACTTTGCCTATTTAAAGTGTACAATTCAATGGTTTTAATATATTCACAAGAGTTTTGCAGCCGTCATCACAGTAGAGTTTAGAATATTTTCATCACCTCAAGAAAAAAACTTCATACCCTTTAGGTATCACTTCCTTATTCCCTCTCCCCCAGCCCTAAGCAACCACTAATCTCTTTACTGTTTCTGTAGATTTGCCTGTTACGGACATTCATAAAAATGTTATCATATAAAATGTGGTATTTTGTGATTAGCTTCTTTCACTTACCCATAATATTTTCAAGGTTCATCTGTGCAATAGTTCATTCCCTTTTATGACCAGGTAAGATTCCATTGTGCGGCTGTATACCACATTTTGCTTATCCATTCATCAACTGATGGACATCCGCGTTGTTTCTACGTTTTGCTATTATGACTAAGCAGCTGTAAGCATTTGTATACAGGTTTTTGTATGGACATAATGTTTAGAGTTTTTTGAGTCTGTGCTTAGGAGTGGAATTTCTGGGTCTTATGATAACTTGTTTAATCGTTTGAGGAACTGCCAGTTTTCCAAGGTGGATGCACCATTTTACATTCCACAGCAGGGTATGAAGGCTCCAGTGCTCCTGCGTCCTTGCCAACAGTTGTTATTATCTGCCTTTATGATTATCGCCATCCTAATGGACCTAAATTGTTATCTCCTTGTGTTTTTTATTTCCATTTCCCTACCAGCTAATGATGTCAAGCATCTTTTCATGTGCCTATTAGCAATTACATATCTTCCTTAGAGAAATATCTCTTCAGATCCTTTGGTTATTTTTGAATCGGGTTATTTGTCTTTTTTTACTATTAAGTTGTAAGAGTTCTTTATATATTCTAAATACAGATCCTTTAGCGTTTACATGATTTGCACATTCTTTCTGTGGGTTATCTTTTCACTTTCTTCATTGGGTCCTTTGAAGCACAAATGATTTTAATTTTGATGAAATCTTATTTATCAGTTTTTGTCTTTTGTTGCTTGTGCATCTTTAAGGATCCTATCTAAAAATCCATTGCCAGATCCAAGGTCATAAAGATTTACTCCTACGTTTTCTTCCAAGAGTTTTATAGTTTTAGGTTTACGTTTGGGTCTTTCATCCATGTTGTATTAGTTTTCATATACAGTGTGAGGTAAGGGTCTACTTTCATTCTTTTGCATGCAGCTCACCAGTTATCCCAGCACCTTTTGTTGAAAAGGCCATTCTCCCCCTTTCAGAGATTTTGGCATCCTTGTCAAAAATCAGTTGATCATAATTACATGATCTTTCATTGTTTTTCCATTGACCTATTATGTCTACCCTTATGTCAGTACACCACTGTTTTGATTATGTGATAGATGTTTGGGGGATGTGCACATTTTATGTGTTCATACACTGCTAAGTGCCATTGGGTGAAGTTTTTATGTGTTCACTTAGTGTTTTTCAGGTGAAATTGCTCATATTATTCCCTAATATATCAGTCAAACTGGAACAAATTTGCATGTTCAAAATAAGCATTATAGCAGAACTGGCAATATATATAAATGCCTAATATTTTAAAATCGAAAAAAAATCAAACTTCAAAACTTGAGAGAAACAGAGAAACTACCCTTCTCTTAGTAACTTACCACAAATTTAATATGTATATATTTTCTAATTCTGCTTTAACCCTATTTCTACATTTAGCCTGAAGTATACCTTGCAGCATGCCTGTTATTTTCTGCTGGGTTAAAAAGAGCTTTTTAAAAAATTTATTATACAATTCAACTTTTGGATACTTTGAGATTTGCAGAGTTAATTTGTTGTCACCTTGTTTTCGTACCTATTGGCACTTTATCCCTTCTCAGAAGGATCTATAACAAAGTAAAACTAAAAATTATAGGAAGGGGAATACCATTTTCCGGCTAGCAAGCAAACTGACAAAGATCTGTGAGTTTCATAATACATAGTGTTAAAGGTTTAGGGAGGTGGTGCCAGTGGGAATACAGATTTGTTCAAGCTCTATGAAGGGCAGTTTGGTAATATCTGTAAAATAAGAAGTACCCATCTTTGACCTAGCAGTGCCACTTCTAGGATCTTACGCACTAGGTATATTTTCATACCTACAAAATATTGAATGTGTAAGATTACTCATTGTAGCTTTGAAAACAGCTTAAATATCCTTTAATAAGGGGTGGATTATGTTCAATTTAATGGAGCTAAAAAAACAACAACAACCCAGCCATTTCTTTATTTACTGATATGCTGTTAAGTGGAAAAAAGCATGGTGAAGAAAAGTATGTAGGATGCTACCATTTACGTAAAAAGTGGGCAGGAGAGAATAGATACACCTGTGTATCTTTGGAAGAATACATGAGAAACTAATAAAAATACTGGTTATCTCTGGGGAGGGTGTCTGAGAAACTAGGGGACCAGCTCAGAAGACTTTGCACCAAATAACTACCCTTTGGTGTCTTTTGAAATTTAAACCATAGTAATACACTACCTAGTCGAAATGAAAATTATAATAGGTTAGGTTTTGCCAATATTAAGCTTATTTGGGGGGTGTGGAGAGTTAGGCCTGTATCAAGAAGTTTTTAGATTTCTTTTATGCCACCTAAACTTCAGTAGACTGCAAAAATAGCCTTTGAAAATTTCTAACGTGCAACAAGATAATAGCTCAGTTGCTGGAGGTCTATAGCTAAAAACAATCAATTTGTAATATGAAACAGTTAACATCACATAGGGAGGGGCATGAAATAATAATATGCAAAAGTAACAACTTTTAAAGCATGTTCATGTGTCTTTTTTTTTTTTTTTAAGATTTTATTTATGTATTTGTCAGAGAGTAAGCACAGGCAGACAGAGTGGCAGGCAGAGGCAGAGGGAGAAGCAGACTCCCTGCTGAGCAAGGAGCCAGATGTGGGACTCGATCCCAGGACACCGGGATCATGACCTGAGCCGAAGGCATCCGCTTAACCAACTGAGCCACCCAGGCGTCCC